GCTGTAGTCATCCCTTTTCTGCATGTCTTTATGGTTAAGTGTGCACCCTTAGATGCTATAGCTTTGTCTTACCCATTTTTAAGATCTGATATGTCATTTATAGTCTTTTACTCTACAGATCCCCACCCTCTCCCTCTATTTTCTAATTTGTTGACAGGTTCAGGCCATTTGACCTGTACAGAGTCTACTAGTCTGGACTTTAAGGATTATGGTACACCAGATGCAGCTTAGTCTGTTCTTCTAGCCTCTGTAAGTTGGAAGCTGGATTCAGAGGTTTGAGACTCAGGCTGGATCCCTTGGTAAGTATATTGCTTTATCAGATGGCACAATGTTTGATTGTTTTTTTGTGATGTGAGTAACTACTCAGTGCCTAGACCTATCGATCCCGGAGATTGCCACTGATATTCTAGTTGGGATAACTTATAAGTAAGACACCTCCCTCATACATTATTTGGTTACCTGGTAGTAGGGTTCATACAGGAAAGGCAGGATGAAGACTTACTTTAGTCAACAAGTTTCAAGATAATGAATTGATTCCCCATCAGCTGCTGAAGGTAATCAGTCTTAATGATTTTTTTAATCTAATAGCTTTTGCTTTCGTATTCCTTATTATATTGGTAATAACTCATTGAAATTAATAGCGATGCTGGTCATACTTTCCACCACTTCTTGAGTGCCTAGTGGGTGCCAAGCATATTGCCCGATACTTTATATACATTATCGCAGTTCCACATGCTGAAGCTGCTGCTAGAACACCTTTAACACTGCTACTATCTTAAATGGAATTTCACTTTATCTCTAATTATAATTCAGTACAGTTATAAACACTGCAGCTGAGTTAGATGTTCAGTCATCTGTAATTAAAGTGAGTTAGAACATGTTAATTTTACTTGCTACTTGCCCGTGATTCACACTGTTCCCATTTTGCAGTGTGTTTTGCCTGCTTTTAACTATTTTCATACGTAAAAAACAACCCCCCCCCAGTTTTTCAACATTAAAAAATAACAGTTCAATAAAGTTTATAGTAATTCATTTACCCTTGAGTCAGGTGAAAAGGTGAAATGGGCCATGGAGCTGGAAGAGGACAAACTAGGAAGACTGGTTTGGGAGAAGCCTCCACTGGGACAGTGCAGTGAGGACGTCAGAGCTGGCGCGGAGAGAAAAACTGCCTTTGAAGGAAAGAAGTGTGATACGTACGAAGTCACCTCCAGCGCCACACTGCAACGTGGAAACTGGTGATTTTACTATGATTTTCACTGAACAAATCTTATGTTGACTCCAGGGTCTCACATGGCTCGTTCCCACAGTCTGTCAGGACCCACATCCACATATGTGGCCCTTAATGCCAAAGGCCCTGAGATGTTATCTAAAGGGTAAAAATTTTAATTACTGGCTCTGAACCCAAAACAGAGTATTAAAAGACCAATGCCAGGACCTTGAATTCTCTGGAGATAAGAACTGGACATCTTAACTGCCTGGGTGATTATAATGCACAGCCAGGGCTGAGAACAAGAATTAGAATTAGATAATTTCTATGCAAGAGCTATTTTAACTTGAAGTATTTACTCTGGAAGAGTAATTGACAGCTTGCATTTACATTATAGCCTTTCTGTAAAACTTGGGACAGCGTCTGCTCTGACAAGTATCAGTATCTTACTGTTCCTCTTTGGTGAACAGAATGACTTCTTCAGAGGAAACACTGACTCAGCAGAGCTGGAAGGACTGCCTTTGATGTTTCCATTTTAATATAGAGCTTCCATTAAATGACACCTGTATCTCCTGACCAAGAACTGGAAGACCCTGATGTTCTCTCTGCAAAGGCAAACTGGCATCAGGACTAGGTAAGTCCAAAATGGGATGTAAAAACCATCACTTCCTAAAGAACACAGCATCTCTGTAAGAAGCTCTGGAAGTTAGATGTTGGGCAGTGAGAATATCTTCAAAGTGAAGGACTACAAACACTGCCACTGTTTCACTCTAACTGAAATGATTCATCCCAATAGATTTTTCTTATGGCCCTATGTATTTCTCTGACAATGTCCTAATAATCTGAATAAACCACATCAAAAATACTTAGGGCAGAACATTAGTGCCCATAATCAAATACATTCATAACGTGCAGTACAATCACAGTTCTTCACAGTCGCCTCCACGAGGTCTTGCCAGAGCAATACTGATCGCCACCTTTGAGCTTGCTGTGCTTAGACAGTTTCCCCCTGCTCTGTGAGTTCTGCAGCCTGCTGTAACCAGGATTATTTTGCACAGCACACCCCCCAGCACAAAGCATGCCAGCGCACCTGTGTTAAAACGTTGAGCTGGTCCATGATGTGCTCTAGTGCATCGGCCACAGCGAGCGGGATGGGTCTTTGGCTCTCAGAAGGGAGGTCGCTCATGTCTTCTGTTTTCTTTTTCAAGTTTGTAGGTGAACATTCTGATGACATTAAAGAAGGGTTCAAGAAATATCCGCAGACCTCCTCACCTTTCTCTGGTAGAGTTCTAACAGTGGTTTCCATTGTCTTTGATAGTAAAGATAGAAAAGATAGTGAAAGTGTTGAGAGATATATATATATATATATCATGTTTTCAACATTCCTCTTCTAAAATCAGTTTTCATTGGTTCATCCTCAACTACAGCAAATTATGGAAATTACAATTAAAAGGGAAAAATGAATGGAGGAAATTCACAACTTTCCTTTTTTTTTTTTCAATTAAACTATCTGTTTGAAGGATCAGGTGTTCCACCACTAAAAAGGTTGTTAGGATTATTTTAAAAAATGAAAAATAACAAATATTGGTGAGAATATGGAGAATCTGGAACCTTCATGCACTGCTGGTAGGAATATAAAATGGTCAACTGCTATGGAAACAGTTTGGCTATTCCTCCAGCAGTTAAAACATAGACTTACCATATAATCCAGCAATTCCACTCCTAACTAACTATATATCCAAAAGAACTGAAAGCAGGGACCTGAACAGATAACTTACAGCAGTATTCACAGCAGCATTACTCACAAGAGCCAAAAGAGAGAAACAATCTGGTTTCCATCAACAGATAAATGTATAAACAAAATGTGGTATATACATATAATTGAGTATTATTTAACCATAAAGATAAATGTAATTCTGTTACATGCTACAACATGGATGAACCACATGCTAAGTGAAATAAGAAGACACAAAGGAAAATACTGTATGATTCTACTAATATGAGGTACCTGGAACAGGCAAATTCAGAGAGGTTACTATGAGCTGGCGGGGAGGGGAAATGTGGAGTTTATGCACTTGTTGCTTAATGAGTAAAGAATTTGAAATGATGAAAAAGATCTCAAAATAGATAGTGGTGATAGTTACACAACATTGAGAATACTTAATGCAAGTGAACTGTACACTTAAAAATGATTAAAGTGGTAAATTTTTCTTATATATATTTTACCACAATAAAAACAAAAAAGGCAATGAAAAAATCTGAAAATAAAATTAAGAAAACAATCCATTATCAAAAAGAATAAAATGCTTATGAATACATTTAACAAAAAAGTACAAGATTTGTATAATGAAAACTACAAACACACCATCACTGAAAGTAATTAAAGACAATTTAAATAAATGGGAAGACAGTCCATAGCCTATGTTCATGGACCATAAGACTTAATATTAAGATAGCCATACTTCCCAAATAGATACATACCGACTGAATGCAATCCCTATCAAAATCTCAGCTGCCTTTTTAAAAGAAATCGACAAGCTGGTCTTAAAATGCATACAGAAATGCAAAGAACCAGGAATAGCCAAAATAATATTGAAGGACAAAGTTGGAGGACTAACATGTCCCAATTTCAAAATTCACTAATAAACCACGGTAATCAATGTGGTGTGGTACTGACATAAGGACAGACACACAGATCAATAGAATAGATCTTAGAGTCCAGAAATATGCCCTTACATTTATGGTCAGTTCATTTTTGACAAGGTTGCCAAGATAATTTAATGAAGAAGAATCTTTTTTTCCACTAAAAAGTGCTGGGAAAACTGGATATTTAAATTCAAAAGAAAGACTCTGGGCCCCTACCTCACATCATATAAATTAACCCAAAATGGATCGTAGATTGTAAGAGCGAAAATGATACAAATCTTAGACGAAAACATAGGAGTTAATTTTTCTCACCTTGGATTAGACGGAGGCTTATTAGATTCAACCCCAGAAGTACAAGTAATCAATTGGACTTCATCAAAATTTAAAACTTTTGTGCTTCAAAAGACAACACCAAGAAAGTGGGGTTAAAAACCCCAAAGAATTGGGGAAGATTTATGGAAATCATATATTTGATAAAGAGATTTCTTCATAAAGAACATATAAAGAATTCTTAAAACTCAAAGACAAAATGACAACAGGATTTGAACACACATTTCTCTAAAGAAGATATCCAAATGGCCAATAAGCACATAAAAGGACGCTCAAAATCACTAGCTATCAGGAAAATGCAAATCAAAACCACACTGAGATACCTACCACTTCATACCCACTAGGATGACTAAAATAAAAAAGAATATAACAAATGTTGGTGCAGATACAGAGAAATTGGAACCCTCATATGCTGCTGGTGGGATTGTGAAATGGTGCGGGTACTCTGGAAAACAGTTTTTAATTCCTCAAAATGTTAAACGTGAATTACCATATGACCCAGCAATTACACTCCTTGGTATGTACCCAAGAGGAACAAAACAAACATCCATGTAAAACCTGTCCATGAAAATCACAGCAGCAGCATTCGTAATAGTCCATAAAATGGTAACATCCTACCTGCATCAAAATACTGTGATAATGAATGAAAAAACAATGTGCTATTACCCTCACAATGGATATCATTCACTCACAAAAGAGAATGAGGTACTATCACATGGTTGAACTTGATGAACCTGGAAAACATTAGGCTACGTTAAAAAAGCTGTACACAAAACCCACATATTATGTGATTCCATGTATATGAAATAGAATAGACAAATATACGAAGACAGACTGAGATTAGTGGTTGCCAGGGGCTGGGAGGAGAGAAGAATGGGCAGATACTGATAGGTAAAGGGTATGTGGATGATGAAAATACTCTAAAATTATTTGGGGAGTGATTAAGTATTCGAAAATTAGATGGCGGAGACGGCTGCACAACTCTGTAACTATTCTAAAACCCATTAAAAACTGTACCATTTAAAGTGTCGAATTTATAGCCTGTGAATTATATCTCATTAAAGCTATACGAAAAGAAAGAATCCAAATATATGCATCACAGAAATCACAGAAGTTTTACAATTTTAGTCAGTCTTCATCTCTGGTTACCACTTGACATAGGAGCGTTCCATGCGGGAAGCACACTTCTGATGGCGATGAGAACACAGAGGTGGCGGTCAGCACATACACAGCTTGCTGTGTGCTCAGCACTGTTTCAAGGGCTTTACACACACTGACTGGTTTGATCCTCACAATAACCCTCTCAGGTATGCTCTACCACTATTCTCATTTTACAAATGAGGAAAGAGATACAGAGAGACTAAATAACTTGCCCAAAGCCACACAGGTAGGAAAGGTGTATGGAACATGACCAGTCATAAATCCAAGAGATGCCAAGTACTCCAGGTACTGTAACTGTGGGAGCAAAGCCACTGTTCTCCATGACCCTCCCAACCATTTTGGGGGGAAGATAAAAACTCAAATTTCCCTCTGTCATAATATTACTAATTCACCATTTGTTGGAAATAAAAAACTGAAAATCCGGCATTCCCAGTTCAAGCTCATTTTAAAACACGCATAAGGCACATCATGCTGCTCTTAACCCAGCTGAGTGTATCTGCTCAGGCTCTTTTTGTTTGTTCATACAACCAGTATTTCTGGAGCTCCCTCTATGCCACGCACTGCTCTAAACGGTGAGAGCCCAGCAGCGGGTGGCAAGAGCCAAGACCTGTTCTCCTGAAACAGACATACTGGTGCCTTCAGTCATTTGGTAATTTATCTTTTCTACTTTTCTCCCTCAGACATCTATGAACTTACACTTTTGCTATATTGCCTACCAGGCTATATGTGCCTCCAAAACCTCCGGGTCCCTGAGCAGTTACGCTCTGTACCCCCAAATTTTCCACCTTTGTGATGTGCCTGACACTGTTAGGGTGTTAACCTAAAACACCTGAATGGAAATGACTTTTTTGGGTATGAAGCACTCAGTAAAATCCAGGCATCCCAAGCAATCCTACTGACACTTTAAATTACTCAACTCCACATGATGAAGAAAAGCTAAAGCCATCCCTGAAATGTTCATAAGCAAAACTCCTAGCAGTCATATAGCTCACAGCAAAAAAAAAAAAAGTGACAATGAATAACGTTCATGTATAACTTGAAAAATTGTGCTCTACACTGGAATTTGACACGTTGTAAAATGACTATAACTCAATAAAAAAAAAGTTAAAAAAAACCCAAAACTCCTAGCAATCATAGATCATAGAAGAGTAAGTTAACATACAGGATTTTTAATGCCCCTCACTAGCCATGCCCAGAAGCACCCATGGCCCACTTATTCTCATCCTGAGTGAACAAAGGGAAACAACATAGAGCACTTACCCACCTGGGCCCCAGCTACTGACTGGCGGCAAACACTGAAATGAGAACAGTGAAAAGATGAGTACGGGACACGACGTCCTGTCTCACAGTCTGCATTCCTGATCCCAGGCAGCCCCTCACTGGCTGGAGACAGTGTATGGATGGCCATGCACAGCCACCCTAAAATGTATAACTCCTGCTCGAAGGACAGACTTTTTAAAACATTTAATCTAATTTTCCTAAAAACATTTTTTGTTGTTTGTCTTGCTTTTTGGGGGGGGGGGGGGAAATAAATAGGTTTATTTATTTTAATGGCGGAACCGGGGATTGAACCCAGGACCTCGTGCATGCTAAGCAGACACTCTCCCACTGGAGCTATACCCTCCCCCAACAGATTTGTTTTTTTAGCATTGCTTCTGCTCTGCCTTCTCTGCCCTCCTAGCATGGCGGAATCCTTTTTGATCTTCAAATTTCAGCTTAAATGTCCCATCTTTAGAAAAGTAGTCCCCGACCAGCCTAATGAAGGTGGACTTTCCATTCCCTACCACGGCATCCTGACGTGCTCCTCCTTAACTGATCTGACATGTCCTTATGTATTTGTTCCTTGTCTGCTGTCTGTCTCCCTCACTAGACTGTTGTGCCTACTCTTCTCACCACTGTACCCCCTGGACTTCGCAGAAACTTGAACAGTTTTGAGCATGTTAACCACTTATGTGCAGAGTTTATCACCATTCTCGCAGACGGAAACCACACTATGAGCACAACAGTCTTTTTCACACGGATCACAACACACCTACGTATGTACACCGGCCGCAGGCATCACTGGCCTTACTGTAGCAGCAGCTTTGGCCATCATGGGAAAAGGCCTCAATCTCATTAACAAGTCAGTCACTGAACCCTGGGGGTTGCAGTCAGTGTGGTTAGTGAAGAAGG